AATCGTGAAGCATCTGGAACGCACTAATGATGTACATAAGTTATCTGCATGTGTTTATCGCATTTGACGTCTCAACAACCGGAGATTGTACGATGGTCACAAACTATGAAGAGAATCAAAAAATCACCGATATAATTGAGTTATCATTTACGGCTAAAATCCGCATATACTTTGGACTTTTAGAACATTGCGGACTATGCACAATCTATGATTAGATATCAGCGAAAAGATATCGCGTGCTCAGCATTATTGGAAAAAATTATTTTTCGCCGGAACCACATTAAAAGTAAATTTCGAAAAAAATGCTCATATGATGATTTCGCGCAAAGGGGTCGATATAGTAATATATACATAGATACCCCTTGCTAAAATTCCAAGCTGTGGATATGTAGAAATGTATGTACATATGTATGTATATACCGAATTATGAGTTTTATCGCCTTTTTTAGGAAACCTATCTGATATACTAAATCCCGAATTTGTCTTTTACCGCATTTTGCATTGATGAAAGCGATGTTCAATGCACACAACATTTAATATATATATGTATGTATTATCTTTCTTCATTTACGTCATTATAGAATTAGTGTTAAAAGAAGCATCATAATGCAGAGCCAGGCTCAGACCACATCAGGAGCTGAGGCGCCTCCACCTCCCCCAACTCCATCTACTTCTACACGCAATCAACTACGTCCTGTAAAGTATGATTATGCAGATTCTTTCGCTTGCACTTATGTGGTATCAGTAGTGGCCGCTTCCATAGCTGAGTTAACTACATATCCCCTTGATTTAACCAAAACACGTCTGCAAATTCAGGGCGAAGCAGTGAGTGCCGAACCGAAGACAGACAAGGGCGTTAAACCTAAGGTAACTATGTGACACTTCTTTATTAAATGCATAAAATACATATGTAGGTGTCTAAGTTTATGTATGTGACTGTGTATTTTGGTTATTGCAATCGTTTTTTTCGACACGTATGTATGTATGTACGTATGTCTGTATATGAATATTATCGGATTTGAGGGCAAACAAAACCTGTATCACCCATCCTAACCTACATTCATTCCATACATCATATAGTAATTTAATTATCCACCTATAACCATTAGCAAAAAGTGTTTTATTTATATGTTACTATTCGTTTACTCGTAATCCCCAAATGCCACCTGGGGCGCAGTGCATTCATTCTACTCCTCTTACTCTCGTTCTCTCTCCCTGATTCCATGGTGATGTCAACGGATCAAAAAAGCAGTATCGTGGCATGGTTGCGACTGCATACGGTATTGTCAGGGAAGAGGGCACAATGAAATTGTGGCAAGGTGTGACGCCTGCACTGTACCGCCATGTTGTCTACAGGTATGTATTTAGCGAAAACTGGTATGCTTTCTTTTAGTAAGATTTTAAAGTCACCATGTCTTTATTTATTTTCAGCGGTGTTCGCATATGCAGCTATGACTTTCTACGTCGGAAGTTGGGCAACGATGAAAACGGCCATATTACTTTGCCCCTTTGGAAGTCAGCCCTCTGTGGTGTATCAGCAGGCGCTGTGGCACAATGGCTGGCATCTCCCGCCGATTTAGTTAAGGTACAAATTCAAATGGAAGGGAAACGTCGATTGATGGGCGAGCCAGCGCGCGTCCACGGCGCCGCACATGCTTTAAAGGAAATAGTCCGCCGTGGGGGCATACCTGGCCTGTGGAAAGGTAGCATCCCGAATGTGCAGCGTGCTGCACTTGTTAATCTTGGTGATCTTACAACTTACGATACCATAAAGCGATTGATTATGATCAAACTGAATATGCCAGACTGTCATACAGTACATGTGCTCTCCTCAATTTGTGCCGGATTTGTGGCCGCGATTATGGGCACCCCGGCAGATGTAGTAAAGACAAGGATAATGAACCAGCCTACGGACGAAAGAGGCAGGTGAGTGCAGATTTTGTAATATCGTATAAAAAAAGTAAATTCTAGTAATATAAAATTAATACATAGATAATTTTAAAATTAAGGTATATATTATTAGTAAGTTTTTTTGTCACCAAAATCATAAATAATAACACTGGTTTACAGCAAAAATGTTATGTGGATGCCACTATCCAATTCCTATGTAGAATTGCTCGGTGATTCCGAAAATAGAGTTAGTTTTTTTCTATGGATACGTTTTCAAGATATTTTCAATTTGCCGTTATTCTGCTTAAAGCAAAAATTGGTTCCTTTTTATCACATATATCTTAAGAACCAATTTAACGATCTTAATATAAAATACGGTATTCCATAGAAAAAAAATTAACTCGATTTTCGGAATCACCAGGCAATTCTACATAGAAATTGGATAGTGGCGTCTGGAAAACAAAAACCAAACTAAAATTTGTGATCCAGTGTAATTAATAAAAGAAATATGCGCGAGGCCAAATGTTATACATAAAAGAAATAATATCATTGAAGCAAGTTACCAATTTTCATTACATATTTTTGAATTTAGGTTATCTTTTGTTCTTGTTTTTTTTTCAGAGGATTACTCTACAAAGGCTCTCTCGATTGTCTTCGTCAAACAGTAAATAAGGAAGGATTTGCTGCGCTCTATAAGGGTTTCTTGCCATGCTGGATCCGTATGGCGCCGTGGTCCCTAACCTTCTGGCTGTCGTTTGAGCAGATTCGTAGCATGATCGGTGCTTCTGGTTATTAGTTCATTTTGTGGAACCTTAGTGTACTCATATTAAGTGTTTTATAGGCGTTGCGGGCGTTATTGCAAGCATTCATGCCTTTCTCAAGTGATCGGGATAGTAAAACGTGCTTACAATTGTTAATTTCAGTTTTAAATACGTTGTGCCAATCATAAGTACGAACAAAAGATTTAATATTTTTTCTGTGCATTATTTATTTTCTAAATGTATATTAGACTGCTAACAGTTTTGCATCTATTTTGTTTTATATGCATGCACTCTGCTGGAAAATTGAAAAATGTTTACGAAAATCTAAAGAGACGTCAAGTGTTACAACCAATAACCCTGGTCGAAAAGCAGCAACGATATGCTTAACAATTGTCTATTATGTTAATTTATATATATACGTGTGTCTACTCTTAAAAATGCGACTTTATTTACATATGTACGTCCGCATATGTGTTGATGCTAAGTGAATCAGGAAGGATTGCTATAATTGCTTTTTACTACGTACATATGTACTTAAAGCTGATGATTGAAATACATAAATTATTTGAAGCCTTATACACTGCACTGCAGAGTTTGTTTAAGTAATTCAAGTGACAATATCTTATTGTAAAATGTAAATACAAAATAAATTAAGTTTTTTACACATAAATAATTAATAATCGTTATCATTGCAGCATTTATCAGAGAATACTCTATCTAAAAAATTACAATCAAATTTCTTTTTATTTGATTTTGTTACCGCAACAGTCATTAATCATAAAGGCTACAGCTCACAGTTCATCACACCAACACGCAGAAATTAGTGATACTGTTACAAGTTATATATTTCGTTTGATATTTTTGTTTTGCTGAACACCGACTAGAGGAAATACCGTTTACTATTCTAAACCTAGCGCCCAATTTATGCCTTGCACTATGAAGAAAATGAGAGGTTGCCAAGCCACAAGCCACCTAATCCAATCGAGCAAACGACCATAAAGAACATGCGGTCGCTCCCAGCTAGAAATAAAAATCGAGTGAATCTCAGCTAGTAAAGGTCTTGGCTTATATCGTCTTATAAATTACAAAACCGCGTATCAACAAAATGCAAAACCGCGTATCAAGATAATGCAAAACCGCGTATGTGGGGTTGCAAAAATTATTTTCTAGAGACTAAAAAACTCATTTGAAAATGCTTGTCTTTTTTATAAAGCAATCTTTTCTGGCTGGTATATTTCAGGACGAACTGATAAGGATTGAGCCAAGAGCTTGTGTGAGCAAATCCAATTTTTGGTAGCAAATGTCAGTTAGCGCTTTTGCAGAATGACGATACGCGGTTTTGTTCTTTAAACGAAGATATGAACTTACGGATTGCAAAACATTTTTTTGAGATCAACCTTTTCCTTGCAGTAAGGACATGTCTGCTTTTTACCCACGATGCACCAACCTCGAATGCAGAATTCATGAAAAACATGATTGCAACTCAACTTATATGTGTTTTCAAATAGACCTTCTTCCTTTTCGTTGACAAGGAGTGGATTCCCGCAAATTGCGCAAACATTGTCGTCTAGGTGACGAGTGGGTATGCCTTGCGGAGTATAATACTAATAAAAAAAAGAGCGATTTAATAATACAACCACATATTGCCAAAAGCTATAATGCTACCCCAATGTGCACTGCCATCTTTTCCGAACAAATTTCTGATATGTCACGCCCCAATACGCCGATATAAAGCCCATAGAACACGCACATCAGGCCTGCATCCATCCAAACGTTTGGTGCTTTGTTGAAGATAAAGTTAAAGCCTAAAAATGTAGCCATCATCACAATATAGCCACCAATACCCAAGCAATAACTCAGTTGATAAGTTAGTAGAAACCATTTGTAGACTAATCTGAGAGATTTGGAATAAAAGATCTTTTACATATGTGCCCGTTTTATTCATAATAACTCCATTAGACTTACCTTGGAGAAGTGCGTTGTATTGGTTTGCTGACTGCTTTTTTAATAACAAAAGCTGTTAATGAGGAAAATACCACCCAAATAATAATAAACCGTATAAAACTGTAAAAGATCGATATCGCTAGTGGTATTATCCACATCGCAAGCAGCGTGATGACCTACAATTGAAATACAAGTATTTTTTCTTAAGTGCATGTGTTTTATCAATATGTTAGAAATACCGAGTAGGATTTGTAATGACGTTTCTTCCACTCCACCAATGACACCTGTGCCACAATAAGTGTTATGAATAGAATAAGTGCCATCTCTGAATGCATAGCTTCATGGCCTTTATGCTTTTCGTGCATGAGTTGATGCTCGGCGCGCATACGTTCTTCAGGGGTCATTTCCTCCAAAGACTGTAATTAAATTCTTATTTCAATGCAAACAGGATTCAGAAGCTGAACAAATAAGACACGTACCTTGTTGAAGTCCACGGGGGCATGCAACGCAGCTGCATCCATTTTCTCAGTATTTTATTGGTCTACTAATCTACGTTTCAACTAAACTTAAGACTATCCTTTTTTTGTTAATTAGCGTGCATTTATGATGAATTTTAACATTTCCTAATTCCTTAACGTGTCACGAACTACAAAAACAAATTAGATTCATGTCAGTGAACGTTCACAGTAAGGACCTACCCAAGTATTCACAATAGTGCAGACGTTACCTATGGTTCTAC